AAATATAGTTTTTTGTAAACTATACGTTCCGCTTATGCGTTATTTAGAAACGTAACAGACAGAAGAATAATAAGGATTTCAAAAATGGCCATATATGTGGCCTGTTTTTTGCATTCACAAGCTTGTAACGGACGGTGCAATTAACCCACTTATGCGGAAAATAAACCATTATAAAGAGAGAAGTAAGTTCTTTCCTTTCCAGTCAAATTGAGTCGTCTATCTTCGGGTAAATTAGAGAAATTGTCAAAAGTCTCCACTTGCATTTTGACATTACCTTGGAAAAAGGTATTGTACACAAGCATTCGTCAGCTCAATATCTGGATAAAGTACTTTTTAAAGAGGTAATCTAGCATTGAAAGTTTGGCAGGAGTTTCCTTGGTAGCAATGAATGTTCTTATTTATATTTACATGCCCACACCCACGCTTCCAGTAAGACAGAAACTTAGGGTTTTTTTTACATACTATATCACTATCCCACCCTTACCCTAACCCCAACCCGTACCTTAACCCTTACCCTTACCCTAACTCTAACTGAAATTAATTGAGTAGGCATGTAAATATAAATAAGAACATTCGTTGCTACCAAGGAAACTCTTGCCGAAAGTTTTTTTCTAAATCTTAGGCATAACAACATCAGAATTCCGTTGCGGACGTTATTTTCTCTCGAAAATGTGGTAAGCTGTTTTGAGGCATTTCTAAATATGACCCACATGGCCATCTTCATAAAAACTAATATCGAAAAACTCATTTTTCGGTAAATGCTCTTTGTTTACATCTTATTTTAAAGGTTTTGGTGTAAACGTCGAACTGAAGCACAATTTATCAAGTTATCACCGAAGACACTGAAAGCGATGGAAAGGATGCCAGACTTCATGGGACGATATTCAATAAATAGTTATCCACTAATGGTAATGTGTACAAAATATTTTGACTTAAGTAAAGTCCTTTTTATATGAAGAAATTGGTTACATTCCGTTTTCACTTTACGAAAAGATTTAAATTTATTGTTCGTATTTCGAGCTATTTTTTGTCCGGAATTTGGGCATTATCGGAAAATTTTTATTTTCATTCAAAAAACACTTAGTACTTCTTATAGATATTTAATTACTCAATATGCCTAATGCCGCTCATTATTTTTTCTAAGTTTTCGTTAATCCGTTCTCGCCGTAATGCGAGTAATAATGAAACTTTTACAAACTTAGGCATGTTGCATGCAGGACTCGCAGCACTGTACGTGCCATCACAATCACTTTGTGCGGTATTTTTTATGGGAGCGCAACCCAACTAATTTTTGCCGCACCCTGATCTCGTCCCTGTGTTGGTCCAGCACATCCACCACGCGGCCAGTTTAGGGGCATGTCTGACATCAAGTCAATCAACAGACACTGTGATATACCTCCCTACTATCACATCCCTCGTTCGCGCTGCCAAGACACGCGGCCCAGTTTCCAGCCGACGGTGTGAACTCAGCCCTATGACGAACACCACCCCTCTCCTCCACCTCTACCCCCTTCCTTTCTGTTGGACTACAAAAAAACACGCTAATTTGTTGTTGTATTCTCACAACTTCTGATGATGGTCTCGTGTGTGAAACCAAAATATCAGCCTAATAAACCCGTTGTCCCAGTGATTGCGCATTCAGCTTCTTTGCAACAAGGCCTCGCATATTCATTTTCATTCTTACGTTTTTCCCCTCCTTGGCTGAAATTAATGTTGTACCTTGGTCGTGTCAAATGTTCATGCACGCTGACTATCGTAGGAAGGATGTTTCTCAATCAGGTTACGGCCAATAAGACAGGCATAGTCATATCAATCTTTCCTGTAGTTATCATTATGCGGCTGCCTGCGAGGGCGCTAGATGCATTCTCCGGAAACCCATAGGTAAACGTACTTTCATCGCAGCAAACGTTCTGGATCGCAACCGATAGGACGACCAACCCGTGGCTTAATGTTAGAATGCGGAACTCAAAAACACTCAACGGGCAAAGAATCCCGGACCATCTAGACTGGCTGTCAGACGAAGGCTACTAAACCAGAATTGGCCCTTCCAGTATCTCTGATATTTGCCGATACACTCTCTCGTGGGTAGTTGGTTGTTACTCGAACTCCCACCTTTTCTGTCGTCTAAAAAACTGTCCCGCTGCCGCGATGCTAAAACAGGAACACATGAGCTGACGAGCAGGACCATAGTGTACAGAACGAAGACAGCATACAAACAGACAATGCGTAATTTATAGATTTAAAATCATCGGCAGTTCACAAAAGGAACGTGGCTGCACGCAGCCAGTGAAAACAATAGGAAGCCGAATGTTTACAAGTCGGTTTTAGTTATAGACTAAATAACCTTAAAGTCTACCAAAAAGAGACCGTCAGCACACTGTCTCCTACCCCTCCCGTTGAAATTTCACGTGCATATTCTTTCAGAATATTCTAACAGTCGCCTCTGTTCAAAGTCTAAGTTGTTCTGATCGCTTCTTGAATAAGTTGTATACACAGAGATGGGCAGCAATAGTTTAAGTAGTGCACCTCATATACTCCCTGGCCGCAGCATTTTGTCCTACGGAAACGGTGGCTGTAGGGGTTTTATGGGAGGGGAATTAGGATAGGTAGTGTATTATACTTTAATAACTGCTATATGCATTTTGTTTTATTTTATTTAGAAATGTTATTGATTTATATCTGTAGATTTCCCTTATATGTATTATCGATAATCGTATTGTGGAAAACTCGATTATCAAAACGCAGGTTCCTTGCAGTTCATGAAAAAAAGAAATAGTGTTTCGGAGGTCGTCTGCCTCAACTTACCTGGGACAAATCTTAACGTTATGGAATTAGATTAGTATAGTCCACGCACACCTTTAATTTACATGTGGGAGAACTTACTCCCAACGGCTGCGGGAAACAAATTCAACTACATTTTTCAACTTTACACCTATTTCTACAAATTTTCTTCAATGCCTATCCTATTTTCCTACCCCCAACACCCCTATAAGCTCCGTTTCCGTAGGACAAAATGCCGGGAATAGGGGTATAGGCG